AGTCTGTGGTTTTCCCGTCCAGTGAGAGCTCTTTACTCATTTGTTCTCAGCCTACCTTGTCTCTCAGAGCAGGGCTAATTTCTGCACATAATGAAACTCACTCGCAGACTGATTGCGCTTCTTGCTGTTTGGTCATGAGAAATTAATGGAGTGCTGCACAAATATTGCAGATTTATTCTTCTGAAAGGAATCGGCCTCCCACCAGTCTGTGTTGTGCCCTGCAGAGGGAATGAGTAAGCAAAAATATCCTGTCGGAATGATTGTTTGACCATATAGCAGATTCCCTAACAGCCTAAATACCTCCATTATTTTGTCTGTGTCTTGTTAATTTAAATGCAGTTTGAGAATAAAGCATACATCTCTAAGCCCTGCTTGTATCCCTGGTGGCTGGCGGGCAGGCAGCAGACTGGGCTATGGCGGAAAATGCCCTGTAAATAAAGAGAGCTAATTTTGTTGCCTGTGGCAGTGATGTGCAAGCTGACCTTATCAGGAGAGCCTCGGTCTGTCTATTCCATCCTCTGTGACTCACCTACCCTGCTCCCTCCCTCAGGAAAGGCGGCCTTCTGTGTGGAGCTAGATTTCAATAACCTCTCAACCGAGAACAGCAGTGAAATGCAGAGAGCGAGCAAGCAAGCAGGCGGGTGCCTACCCCCTTTGCTGCCTCAGTAAACAGGTGATGCAATGCACCTATGTGCAGTGGCACCTTTGTCCAGCTACAAATGTAATGCAACAAAATGCCTTTTTGCCCCTGACAGACAAGAGGCACAATGGTGATAGGAGATGGATGGAAATGAAAAGGGAGATTAACAAAGGCCTCATTTGAGGAAGTGCAGTAGTGATGAGAATGCAGGGTTGGCAATGAATTGACAGCCCTTCACCAGGCATCTATCAGAGGTATTCAGAGGTGATTTTGGGATGGTGGTATGCAGGCAGAGAGATGGAGAGATGAGAGAGAGAGAGAGAGAGAGAGACAGTGCTCGAGCTGGAGGCCCAGGCACGGTGATGGATCACTTACATGCTGCAGCAGCCCCACCATGCTGAACTCAACCCTCAGAATTGATGAGCCACACCTCTCCCCTTCTCCCTCTTCCTGTCATATCTATTATACCACCATCACCCTCCTCCTTTCTCCATCTCTTGATTTCGTCACTGTCTGTCTGTCTGTTCTTTCTCGTTCCATTTCTTTCCAGCTTCGTCACGTATCTCCCTCTGGTCCGTCTCACCCTCTAACTTTATCCCACCTCAGCCTCTCTCTTAATTTCTTTTCCCCCCTATTTTTTTTCCTTTGTGCCTTTTGACTACTGGACCTACTCTGTGTGTGAAAGTCAGGCAAGAGAGCCATGGAAGTGCCATACTAATAAGGTTAGAGGGAGCATCTCTGTTTCTCGTGGTGACACCTTTATAAATGACAGAAGCACGAGGCCCCGTCGGTGCTCAATCACCTCTGCAGGGGCTTACCCATGGGGAGCTCAGCATGTGTGATGTGTGAGTGAGTGTGTGTGTGTGCGTGTGTGTACATGTTTGTGTGTTATTGCCTCTGTGGGCTTGGGTCTTGCAGCTGCCAGGTTTACGGTGGAGCTAGTTGAAGTGGACAACAGCATTAGGGAGGAAACAGATCTGGAGGCAGAGTGAAGGCGAAGGAGAGAAATGACAGCCTGGAGCTCATCTGACCAGTACTGCCTTGTTATGACTCCCTGATGTGTGCACCAGGGGCACACAAAACAGACACTTCCTCCTTTTATTGCCTTACACCACGTCTATCTCTGTTCTGTAGTCTGTCGCCTCACAAGCTCGCTTTATGGCCTCCACCGAGGAGCAGGATGTTATCTGCTTATATAGGTCTATGTTATAGGCTCCTTTTTTCTATCTTTTCACTGTCTGTGTTTGTGTTTATGCCAGTGTTTTGGAACAGGGATGAATTTTGAATTACACAGGGGTATGCTGCGCTGCGTGGGGCTGCGCTTTCCACTTCATATAACAACACAACCACCTTTGTGGCTTCTCACACCAACAAATACGGGCAGAGTAGGGAAAAACAGGAACACAATGATTCAAATGTGTTTGGGAGACGTGCAGCGCTAAAAATTAGGTGACGTGCTGGATAACAGTTCAACAGAATCAGCAGAAGACAAGATTGAGTTAACACGATTGCGTGCTCACACATACAAGCCCGAACTTAGGGACATTATTGCTCACAACATGAACACTGTGTGCTTCTTACATGAAATGCTTTCCATGTCCTGTCCGTAAGTTCATGTGGCTTTTCTGAAGGCTACAAAACAAGAATCAAACTCTAGTTTTTATTACTGTAAGCTGCTCTGAGACAAACTAGGTTGGTGGCTATAGCTGTTTCTTTGGTAGTCAGTGATAGTGGTTTTTCTCTCTGCATGCAGAAGCTTTAGACCTGAATGTCATGAATGGCAGAACGGGAGCAGGCAGATCATTGGAATGGCATCAGGAAGCCGGCAGGTGATAATCTCCCCACAACGGTATTCCTATTACAGTTCTCCTTAAGCTGCTAGGAACTGCAGCCTACATCCGTTGCGGAGGAAAGGGCTGTGTTTGGCTTTTTCTAGTGTGTGCAGAGCCACCAGAAAATATACCATTGGACATGTATGTATCTTTCTGGCTGTTGGTGTATGGGCCTGCCAGTGATGATAATTAGAGAGAAGAAAGGGAAATAGCTGTGAAGCTTGCAACACCTCAGCCATGAATGCAGGCCATGGAAGTGACTGCGGCGTCATCATTCCTGACCATAAAAGCTGCTCCGCCAGTCAATGCAGTCTGGGTTCATTCTCTCCTTGCTGCCCAGTCTGAGCTATTTTTAGCCTCCCTGTGCAGCGTGGCTCAACCGCCGTCGTAGCTACCTGGATATGAGGGCTTTGTCACTCTTGCAGGCTGGAGCAGCACTGATCTCGCAAGCTTTACAGCTTCCTATTTCCACAGCAAGGACTGCAAAACAACTCCTGCAGTGAAAGGAATGAACAGAGACAGACAAAGAAAAGAGGGAAGACAAACAGATAATAGTGATGTATATTTCACAGAGCTGAAATGAAACAACAAAAGGCATTGCATTCTTGTATTGTACTTTGCGCTTGATGTGATACGACAGAAACAGTATTTTAATGAGGCAAGCTGACAATTAACTATTCATGGCAATGCTAAGTTAAAACAATTCAAACGATTATTGACTAACTGATTAAAACATAATTCAGGAAAAAGGAAAACTAGGAGCAATCTCTCTTTTTCAGAAGTGCACTGTTTACAGGGTTTTACAAAACAATAAATGAATGAATTTTTTTGTTACCGTACATGATTAAACACACCATTGCAACAAAAATTACACTCAAAATGAAAGAAGGGACTTAAAAGACAGTAGCAGGCATATATTTATAATTTGTTGTGATGGATTTCTTTTAGGCTATTACACTGAGCGATACTGAAAAGTGGCTTTTCTTGTGTTTTACATGCGTTGTTAGTCACAGACATTTTGTTAAGGTAGTCTTTCTCCTGCAGGTATACAAACCTGTGCCTGTTAATTCGGCATAATATTATTCAGTATTCCCTGGCATGGTAAACAAATGCTCCAAACACATTCATTTGAAATGACTGCGCCGCAATCCCACGGTGCATTAGGGCTGTTTGAATGAAGTGAGTGCTCAGAGACAGTCCCTTATAATAGTTTCTCCTCTTTTCTTGTGACTCTTGAGGCTAGCTGTGCAGGCACCAGCTACAACACGTCACACGTGTAACTTTAACTTTGTTCCATCTTACATCACTCCTTGGTGGCGGTTTTTACTGAGCTTCATTTTGTGGTTCTAGGCTTTTTTATATCTATTTTGTTTTTGAATTATGCAACAAACCGGCAACACTATTGAATGATGTAATGTAACATTAAAAGTACCGTTGAGTAGCATCATGGACTAAAAACCCTTTTAAAACCTCTCAAGTTGCACAGCAATCTTGGGCAGTCTTGCCAAAGATAACACATCCCAGTCTCACTCTCCTCTGCCTGTGGGCTGCTGTGGCAAAATTCTGTTTCTCCATGGGTGGTAATCTGAGGATTAATGACAGCAACACATCTGCCAGTCATGTGGCAGCGCGACACAGATGGCAGGGGATGCACACGAGGGACACAGACAGGGAAAAGATTTGCTCCAACATTCTGTCATTCGTCCACTACAACATGCTGTTTCAAAGCTCTAATGTTTTCAATCAAATAAATCCAAATTCCTCAAGTACATGAGTGGCTCCCACTTGAACAATCTCACCAATGGGTCTTCAGTGAGGAGTTTCGGTGACTTCCTTGATGGAGTATGAGTGTTTCTCTGCAGTTATTTTGGGGTATTTGGTCCTTTTGAGGCTGCTAAAATATGTGTCATTTTTTAACACCGCGTCTTCGTATTAGTGTCTTTTAACTACTAATAACAACATCTTTTGTGACATTAAACGGTAACACAAATTTGTTTGTCCTATTAGAAGATAATATCAAAATGACACTTTTTTATCTCAAAATCTTCACTCTCCCTCCTTTTTTGCTTCAATGTGTTGCATTTACTTACATCTGTTGTATGGTTACCGCCACCAATGGCACCCACAACAATAGCAGCAGACACTGTGGCTGATGTGATAGGAGTCCCGTTGGCTTTCAGTGGCACAGTAATAGCACATATCCAATATGGAGGCAGAGAAAGGATGATCCTAACAATGCCTCTGGCAGTGCCTCTGGCTACAGGGCCAACACACACACAAACGCACACGCAAGCACGCACTATCTGTGTTTTGCCTTCCTTAGAGGAGCTGAGGAGCAGGCACATGTGTCTTCCTGAATTACTTTTAAGGAAAGGCAGTGGGAGAGATTCTATTCTTGTAGAAGAAAACACAGTCAATTCTGATTTCATAAAACAACACTCTCACTCGCTGTGTATGTCTCATTCTGTTTATTTCTCTATTTTGCTGCTTTCTCTTCATTCCCACTTTCTCTATTTGTGTCTGACCAGGTGGTGGGTCCCCCGGCTGCAGGGGCTTTTCGGGAGCGCCCTTCCAAACCAACCACCTTCCGCAAGTTCTACGAGCGCGGAGAGTTCCCGATGGCACTGGAGCATGACACCAAAGGAAACCGCATTGCATGGAAGGTAGGCTCTGCCCTCTGATAACAAATGCTTATGGTTTTCATACGCTATTAATAAAAAGGCTAGGGTGCTAAATTTGCCATCAGGGAACAGAATGTGGATGGGGTAGGTAATCTCAGTAACACTAAATAACCTTTAGGAGCAAATGCAAAGCTATTGGGGCCTAATTAAAAGCTTGCAAAGAAAAGCATCAATCAGACCATGATGAAAACATCTTTGAGAGAACACCCAAGAATTCTCTGAGATGTAGTAGTCCTTGTTCACAATCTGCTTTTAAATCCACACTTGCTGTCAAACAGTTGTCATGGTTGGCTTTGAAGACTTGATAGGTGCTATGCAAACAACATTTATCGTCGTCATTATCAACTTGGCTGAAGGTGATGACAATTTCTCACATATTCACAGGTCCAATGTGGAATGTTGTCCTGTAGGAGGCAGTGTAGATTAGCTCACTTGAAGGCTCCCCCTGTCTCACAGCACCAATCACAGAATCCATCAATCACAAACTCTATAGGAACTCAGGGCAGTTGCAGCAAAACACAGGGAGTAATTGTATACGTATTTGTGTTTGTATTGTATGTGTGTTTGTGTGTGTGTGTGTTACACGCAAGCCTCCACAGAGCCATTAGGCTTCTGACTGGCACAGTGTGTGTGGGATGGATGCATTCTTCTAATCACCATGTTGCTTTATTTTAGCTCCCACAATGCTGCCAGCTATTCCATAACTTCCCAACCGCCGTACAGCAACCACTCTTAATGACATTTATTCATAGTAAGCAATGATAAATGAATCAAACAAATTATACCCTTTTCCTCCCTTTTCTCCTACTTCAAAGAGAGAAGGATGGGTGGGTGGGTGAGTGAGCTTTCTCGCTAGTTAGCTGTCTGTCTTCAGGTGAAAACACTGTAAAAGCTCTCTCTGTATGAATTATTTATGTAAAATGTTCAAATGAATCTTTGCGTTTGCAAAAAATAATGGATTTCTTTTGTGCTCTGCCCCTGAAAGAGCACTCAGAAAATGGGATGTGGTGTATGAAATTGTTGCTGTCATATCCAATGCAGCTGTTATGCTTATTGATTTCCCCCCAATACTTATACACATGCTCGTCATTTTTATAATCCTCTGCAAAAAGAGAGTTTATTGCTCAAGCCCATTTAGATTCTTTGGGTTCGTACTTTGACTGTGAACAAATGCAATATTTGTATGAGGCAATGTCTGTTTTAGTGGAGGAGATACATTTTCCCTATATGATTTGTGTTTCCTTGAAAAACAGTGTTTATCAGCCTTCTGTTTGTTTAAAGCAGTACAGGTAGAGATGATCAGCATTTGCTGTGTGCATTTGTTGTGTAGGTTTATATTTGGGAATAGTGTAACAGAGAGTGTAACCGTGATCGGAGTAAGTGGAGAGGGGCTGCTGCGTGTTTGCACTGAGCTGCCCTCAGGGCACAGGTTCAAGACGGCAGCTCAGGATCAATCCCAGTCTGAGAGCTCAGCCCCCTAGCAAATAAAAAGTCTGGGGAAAGTAAGAAAGAGAGAGAGTCTTTTTCGGAAAGAAAAATAAATGGTGTTGATTTAGTTTGTGGGCTGAGTACTCAAGCATAGACTGTGCACATGTGTGTTTGTGTATGTACTGTATTTGTGATCAGTTTCATCAGTTTGACTGTCTGCATTGATAAGTATGTGTATCCAGGTCAAGAGTTCAGCTTCCCTCCCACAAAGATGCTGTCTGCACAATGTTTACTTCTGCGCAGCAGCAGACAGTCAATGTGACCATGAAATAGACAAAGAGGCCTCATGAATGTCAGAACCTGTCATCACCTATAGCACAAGAGCCACTGGACGTAGAAAACTGATTTCCAGCTGTTGTTGAGTTACTCTTACAATAAAAGCTGGGAAAGTGACTGCTTTAATTGCTAGATGACAGAATGTAGACACGGGCAGGAACAAGCTTTGATATGCTGCGTCAGCTTATCAAATACTTAAGGACCTTTTTGAGCAAACTTGACTAACTTATTTACACACCAATCAGCAACTAAGCAACGTGTTTGTTTTTAGTTTCAAATCCTCTTTCTTGCTACCTGTGACATGTGAGGACCACATTCACTGGGGAATGAGGTTTTATTTATCAACTCCTGAAAAAATATATCTCAGTCTCTTTGGCTCCCTGTATGCTTTCAGTAAGAGCCACTCAATAAATACAAAACCACGCATATTCACTATACAGATGTCTATATATACTAGGATAGCTATAGCTACAGCTATAGAAATACAACATTGCTAGCCTGTATTTTGCATTTGACCACAAGTTCTCATCCACCTTACACCTTATGTCCTCGTTTGCAGTACACCTGGAAAATAATCTTTTAATGATGTGGCTGATCATAATCTTTCCAACTCCATCAGAAAAAGATTTCCTCTATGGAGCTGAAGAATGGAGAGTGGAAGGAAAAATGGCACTATCCTGGGATGGGCTGTAATCCACTCCTCCTATAAAATTACAAAACATCCGGGATTCTGCCTCACTTTCATAAAGGTCATTAAGGAATGAATTAAGGTGCCGAGGGTCCCAATTAGAAGTTTTTTATTTTTATTTTTTAGTTATGTTGTGTTTGAGCATAAACGTGCAAAATAGTGTTGAAAGTTTTGCCGGTAGTTGAGTTTGATTGAGAAACCAGTTCATGAAAATTGAAAGATGTGGTCCTTTAATATATGTGGTGTGAAAGCAATGAAAAGTGATCCACAGTTTAGTCCACACTGGCTTCTGTTGTGCTGACTGCGAAGACTTTGAAGAAGAGTTTTGAAGAAGGGGACTTTGTATAGAGAAATGTGATTTAGCAAAAAGAAAAACTGTAACAGGGAGTAATTGAAATCAATGTTAACATCAAAAATATTAACATAATGGGGTTTTTGATAAAGTACATGAATAATTGGGGAAACAGAAAACATCAATTTCTAATTATCTACAATTATATGTGCTGTCCTAACCACATTTAATGGTTCGAGACATCGTGTGTTTGGATACATTACTGTTGGTGAAGAAGTCTCCTTACATTTATTTTAATTTGGATGGCAATAAATCGGGAGCTGGGACTACTATTGGTTATCTTCCTTTCTGAATGAAACAAATGTAAAGTGAGCCTTACCTGTTATTGCCAAGAAAGACATACTTTTCAGCTTAAAAGAACATGATCAGCTCTGTGGTTACAGTATGATCCTGCCTAAGCAGTGCGTTCTATCCGGCAAACAAGCCGTATTTGTTGAACATAAAAGTAACTGTAGAAGAAGAATGTAAAATGTGTGTATAAGAATTATGAGCCTGGGGACATGCAACTTTGTGCGTGTGCTTGCGTGCTGATGTATGTGTGGTTTTATAGTGTGAGTCTGAGCCTATATGTACAGGGGGAAATGCAAGTGAACTAAATGTCAAGGGCAAGTTGAAAAAGGGAAGGTTGTATCTGAAAGGTAATTTGGCTCTCCAGAGGTAAAAGCCTCAGCTGTAATGGCGCGCTCAGGTAAAAGCTTTACACGTATGGGGAACATGTGCAGCCGATAGATAAGAGAGAGACGGAGCGAGTTCCTATCCCTGTCTATGTGTATTTGTGTTCCTGCGTATTTGTATGCTTCTGTGGGTGAGTTTGTGCATGAGTGTGTGTGTGTATGTTTGTGCGCGTATTTGGCCCCTGCCATAACGTAGAAGCCAAAGGCCTGGAACAGCACCGTAATCTACTGTGATCCCCAGTGCCAAAAAGAGAGCGACAGAGAGAGAGAAGGGAGGAGAGAGAGGGAGAGAGAGAGAGGGAGAGAGGGGGAGAGAGCTCCACAGGGACTCAGCAATCAGGAGACATGGCAGCCTCTTGGCTCTCAGTTATAATGGATGAGTTGAGGTCTTCCTGCGTTCCCTGTGGGGCTTGGTTTGACTCTCCCATCTCTACCCTCTGCTGTGCTCTGCAGGCTTGCAGCCAAACATCATGGTACACAGATACATGCACACACACTCACCTCACATGTACTATTCACCTCCTAAACAGCCTTGTTTATTTCATTTCATTGATCGCCTATCTGCTTTATCTTGTCCCTTGATCTCCTGTTCAGCTCTGTGTCTCCTGTATGCTCCCGGTTGTTGTTTTGTCCTCTTTATAAATCCTGCCTGTCTGATTCTGCAGGCCTCCACCCTTCAATGTTGGCCACCCCTCCCCCCACCCCCTCCCTCTCCTGGCTCATGTATTTTATCTATTCCCCTTTGTCCTTTTACGGGGTCTGTCTGGGGGCAGAAGGAAAAGCCATTTTATAAAAATATCAATGCAAACCTGATTTTTGCACACCCTCCGCAACCACACCAGCCTCAGTCGGCAGAGGGGGCGCAGAGATGGGGGGGGGGACAATCAATTAATCTGATCAAGCGCTTTAGGAAATGGAGAGCGTAAGCGCTCCTAGGGGACGGATATCCATCTCCTTGGGATGATTGAATTACGCACAGAGTGAGAGTTGGAGGGGAGGGAAGGCTGGAAAAATGAGGTGGTTAGGGTGACCGAGGATGAGGGAGCATGTGCTTGAGAAACGCAGTGGGAGTGTGTGCTTGATACGAGAACGAAAGATAGAGAGACAGAGAATGAAATGGAGCAAGAGCAAAAGAGTGTGGTGAAAGAGAGATGAGGTCATTGCAGAAACAGCAATGGAGAGGAGCCTTATTCCTCCCACCGTTTCCTCCATCTAACCATTTACATTTTTATGTGTCATACCTTATAGTTGATAACCTCTTCTTTTGACAGCTATATTACATGGCATGGATACATAATTTCGCTTGGAGTCAATTCACAGCCGAGTGCTGCTCTTGACAAATTTGTCATGTATTTAACAGTAATTGTCTTACATGCATATGGGCCAGCAGTATGGAGGACTTTATGGCAATGGCCTATAGACGGGCTATAATGGCTGCGTTTTCTCGTATCTAAATTGAATTTGTTATAATATCATAGAGTGTATGAATAACAAGGGCTTACTG